ATGCAAATGTATTCAGCTTTTCCCTGACACAATGTCCCCGTTTTCTTTCAGCGTCTCTTTGGGAAACCCAGCGCTTCCCGTGGGAGTGAGAGCTCCTGGGGAGCCGCCTGGAACCCTCCCAGCCTCGGATGCCCAGGCAGGCTGGAGCTGGCACCAGCTCCTTCCAGCAGCCTCCTCCCCGGGGACTGGAGCCCTCCTGCCCGTGTCCTCCTCTCGCCTGCCCAGTCCAGGCCCTTCTCCACCCCAGAGCCGGTGGCACAAGCTGGGGTCACCCCCCTGCGGGAAGGAAGGAGGTGGAAGGGGCTGCATGTGCCCAGCTCCGTGAGCAGCGGCAGCAGGAGGGCACGGCAGGTTTACCCAGCCCTGCTCTGCTGGGTCCCCAGGGGCCCTGGGGGCTCTGCCTCTGGAGCTGCTCAAACATCCAGCTCTGTTCCTGTGCAGCAACCCCTGGGGGGTTCTCCTTCATGGCTCACTCCAAACGCTGGATCCACAGACACTTGTCTCACCCAGGACATCCTGCAGCAGGGAGCTCCTCAGCTCGGCTGCCCAGCACGGGCAGAATCACTTCCCTGCACCCGAGCTGGCCTCGTGCTGGGTGCTGCAGTAACCCTCAGCCCTGGAGCTGGACAAGATGGTGAACTCAACTCCCCACTGCCAGCTGGAAGGGCTAGTAAACACTGGCACAGGCAAGGACGTGGTTAACTCACCATCCCTGGAGGTGAAGCCGTGTAGATGTGGTGCTGAGGGACATGGTTTAGCATTGGACTCAGTAGAGTTTGTTTAATGGTTGGACTTGATGATCTTAAAGGTCTTTTCTCAAACAAAACAGAACTGCTCTGCCATCCACCCAGTCATCTCTCCATCTGTGGAGTCCACTCAGTCCTTCCCTTGTCCTTCCCCGTGTTTCTTTGAGTGGTCACAAGACGGGATGGGAGATGGGATACTGGAGATGAGACAACAAACAGCTCAGGAGATGCTGTTCTGTTCTCTGCTTCCTTCCTAGTCATCTCCAGCAAATCCATTCCCTCTGTGGAGTGGATAGGAAGTCCCTGTGCTGCTGTATGTCCATATGAGCCACAGGTCAGTCTCTTCATTAAGAAGGCTTGGAGTAATTTGGTCTTGGGGCTCTGAGAACCTAGACTAGTGGGAGCTGTCCCTGCCCGTGCAGGGGTTTGGAACTAGATGATTTTTAAGGTCCATCCCACACAAAACATTCCATGATTCTGTGATCCTCGTGTGCCACCCACAGCATGGGAATGGTGCCCAGCAGGAGGGCAGGAGCTGCCTGCAGATCTGGGTCAGGCTGCAACCCCTGCAGGTCCAGGCCCCAGAAACCAGCCACCTTCCCCTGCAGCAGTGGGACCTGGTGGGGGGCTCATCCCAGGGCCAGTGGGACCTGGTGTTGGGGCTCATCCCTGGCAAGTCTGTCCCTGGCTAAAGGACTGTCGTGCATCCTCCCTGTCCCTTTGTGAGTGGAAATCTGGCCAAGCAGAGGGCATGGCACGGTGGAATTAGAGAATCATTGGATCATTTTGATTGGAAGAGACCTTTGAGATCACCCAGCCCACCTGTTCCCCCAGCCCTGCCCATTCCCACTGCCCCGTGTCCCTCAGCACCATCTCCAGGGCTTGGAAACCCCCCCAGGGATGGGGACTCCTCCCCTGCCCTGGGCAGCCTGGGCCAGGCCCTG